CCGCGGCCTCTAAAAATTCGTAAGTCGAGAAAAAAAAATCCGACAAACTTGCGGTTTGTGTCGACTGCGGTTTTAGAAACGGCGCCATAACATATATTTTTTTCATCGAAATTAAAAATTCGACCCTTTTTGCCTGCACGATTTGAGATGAAACCACCCATATATATTTTACAGTTGTAAGTGACTTGCACTGAGTTATTTTGCGGGCAGTGGTTCAGTTGAAGGACTTATCCGCTCTCAATTAGACAAAACACAGCCCTTTCAGACTCCGGCTGTAAGGGAAGTGGGTCGGTGTGTTTGTTTTGTTGTGTATTTTTTTTTTCTTCAACGTTCCAAGTTTTCAGTTTGGGATTAAGTTCACCGTTTAAGGTTGAGGTGAAGACCAGTGTGGGTAGGATTGTATAAGAATGGTTGACTTTGTGACGTCGGTGGTCGGTGATTAGGCTGTGGGTATATAAGGCTTTGAGGAAACAAACGCAGTAGCTGAATTCGAGACGTTCTTTTCCCCTGTCTTTTTCCTTCGACCAAGTTTCCCAGCTTTTACCACAGTCTCGGGTATTCTGCATCATGATCAACTTCCACCACCTCCCCTGCGCACTCACTGCTTTTTCATCTTTGTCGTTCCATTCTTTGTTATTTATTTATTTATTTATTTATTTTACAATACTGCAGGCCAGTTCTCTGGCCCAAGCAGGAGGGGCAAAAAATGCAACATATGGGTGCACATGAAAAAATGACAAAAAACAATAATACAAAAGAAGACAAGACCACTGCTGCGGAATGCATTATCGAATTAGGTACCGTTCTAATTCCTGAATGAAATTGGCTGACTGAATAATGGTTTCTGGTAGCAAGTTCCAGTCCGAAATAGTGCGCGGAAAAAAACTGTGCTTAAAGGCATTTGTTTTTGCGAAGATGGGCTGTAGTGCGTGATCCCTAGTGTGTCGTGTTTTTCTTGAAGTTAGTTGATTGAGGTATGGGAGTGTATTTAGGCTTACTCTGGATGTCAGGATGATTGTAAAGAAATAAAATACGAGTCATTTTCCGACGTGTATCGAGAGGTGGTATTTGGTTATCCCTCATAAGTTCCGTGGGCGAGTCCAATCTATTGTATTTACTGAATATAAACCTAACTGCCTTTCTTTGTACAAGTTCAAGCTGGTGGATATCTTTTTTATTGTGAGGATCCCAAATGACTGATGCATATTCGAGTTTTGACCTGATGAACGTATTGTATGCGAGGAGCTTAACAGTACTGGGAACGTGTTTGAGCTTTCGCCTTAGAAAACACAGTTTAGCGAAAGCTTTAGAGCAAATATTTGAGATGTGTGTAGACCAAATTAAACGATTAGTAATGGTAACACCTAGATATTTATAGCTAGTGACCTCAGGAATGGCAGTGTTGTGAAGCTGATACTCAAATGAGCTTATATGTTTTTTTCGTGTAATTTTTAGAAGCACAGTTTTTTCAATATTCAAATCCATATCCCAAGCTTCACACCAGTGCTCTATCTCGATAATAGATTCTTGAAGCGCAAGATGGTCGTCAGCAGTGTTGATGTCTTTAAAAACAATACAGTCATCCGCAAACAATCTCATGGAAACAGACGAAGAAACCACTTCGGTTAGATCATTTATATAAATAAGAAATAGTAACGGTCCCAACACACTTCCTTGGGGCACGCCGGAAGTGACAGATAGAACGTTTGAAACATGCCCGTTAACATCAACGAATTGGGATCGATTTCTTAAGTAGGCACTTATCCAGAGAATAATGTAAGAGGGAAGTCCTATGCGTTCGAGTTTATAAAGCAGTTTTGCATGAGGTACCTTATCGAACGCCTTACAGAAGTCTAAAAAAAGAACATCGCATTGCCCTGAATCATCGAGTATCGCGAGAAATTCATGAACAGACGTAACGAGTTGCGTGACGGTGGACATTCCCTTCCTGAATCCATGCTGCTTAGGCGATAAGATACCCTTTTCAGATAAGAAGCTTTTAATATAACCGGCCACGACGTGTTCCAATAACTTGCAGCAACTACAAGTAATTGAAATCGGCCTATAATTAGACACCAATAACTTATCCCCTTTCTTGTGAATCGGTACAACCCGAGCTCTATTCCAGTCATCTGGCACTACTCCGGTAAGTAAGGAAACTTGAAAAATCTTGGTCAAAAATTCAGCTAATTGCAGTGCATAACGTTTTAAAAAGGCATTGGGTAGACCGTCTGGACCAGAACTCTTTTTTACTTTCAGTTTACGCAACATTGACAAGACACCTTCGACTGAAATTACAGGAACCTCGAGAGAATTTATAGGAGGGGCTGGTGTCCCGTTGTCATCTTTTTGAATAAATACACTTTGAAAATATTGGTTAAAAATTGTCGCCATTTCCTTACCCTCGGTCACAAGGTTCCCATCCACTTTAATTTTTGTTAACACTTGTTTATTTGATCCCAGATAACGCCAAAATTTCTGTGGGTCGCTTTTAATGAACTCAGGAAGCGTAATACTAAAATAACGTGTTTTTGCTAAATTTACCATAGCCACGAGTTGTTTTTTAAGTTCCTCAAAGTACTCTGATGCAGTGTTATGTTGTCTTCTACGACGCTTTAATTTACGCTTAATCTGAATAATTTCTCGGCTAACCCAGGGGTTTTGACGTTTATTTCGTACTTTCCTCGAAGGGACAAAGTGTTCGACGGAAAACTTTATAGCTTCCTTAAAATCTTTCCACAAGCCCGAAACGCTTTGCTCGGAGTTAATATTTAACTTATCATCAAGGTAATCGATTATGTCGATATCGTTAGCTCGTTCATAGTCTTTAACATTCACAACAGGACGATTCCGCGTACTTCCCACGTGTCTAGCAGTCCAACAAAAAGACAACAAACGATGATCAGAGATACCAGGTTCAACACTAAGCACTCCAGTGAGAAACATTTGACTAACAAAAAAAAGATCCAAAAGAGCATTTTCACGAGTGTGCTCACAAACAATTTGATCAAGGTTTAAAGCCAGCATAATGTCTAAGATTCTATCACTGCAATTGGGCATTCCATAGGCCAGTTGATTCCAATCAATAGTGGACAAATTAAAATCGCCTGTTACAATAACATTCTGTGCATGCTGGGCTAGAAGATGATCGTATAAGTTATCAAGGAACAAGTCGGTCGCATTTGGGGGCCTATAAACAGCACAAAGTAAAACAGTGAAACCCCACAGTGATATATTTAAAAACAAACTTTCATGGTCGTCAATCTGATCAAGTAAGGTTACATTGATATGGGACTTTGCGATAACTGCTACGCCTCTACCGTGCGATTTACAGTGTCCCGCAAACACAACGCCACCTCTTGATTGCCCAGATATTGAACGATTCGTGGCTACTAGGTGATCACCCATTCCTAGAAGAGGCGTCCCCGTCGTCCAACGTTGCAGATGAGACTAGGTCTTTTTCATCAGTCAGCGTGCAAAATTCTTGCATTTTCTTAGCCGTGTGCTGGAATCGCGTTGCGGTGAAACCTGCGTTTTGTGAGTATGTGTGTGTATGTGTGTTAAATCAAATTTGGGGGTTTTACGTGCCAAACCAACGACGGGCATCTGGCACGCCCCAGCGGAGGACTGAGGATCAATTTCGACCACCTGGGGATCTTTTGACGTGCCACCGAAAGCTCGGTTACACGGCGCCGTCTCCGCAATAAGCCTGCGTCAGATTGCGGGTAGCTCACCTCGGCCGGGATTCGAACCCGCCACATTGAGATCCGTAGGCCGGCGCTCTCGCCTCGGAGCCACCGAGGCGGCTGTGTGTGTGTTGACTGACTCATTGATTTTGGGTTTTAGTAGCGCAGCGGCTGCTAAGGCCATAGTGCGCCAATACAATGGTAGGAAAAAAAAAAAGAACTGCGGTCCATGCTATATGGTTAAAGGTGAGGCATGATATGAGAGTTTAAAATGTTTCACGAGATGCGAACAATACCAAAAAAATCCACTGTCTTAAATGTGCTGTAATAGACCAATGCTGTTTGGGAAGTTAAAAACTTGGGTATGAGGAACAAGAGGCTCCTCTCCCGGCAAAAGGGCAAGGTGGATGTGTCAGTGCGTGCGTGTGCGTGTGTGTGTGTTTATACGTCAAAATTCGTTTTTTTTTTTGTTGTTGTTGTTGTTTTTTCGGCTTCGTAAAAGCTGAAAGACAACGCTTTAAATAATCGTTGTCTATCTACCGGGACTACAAGCTCGAAAGATCAACTTTCTTGCCGTATAGTCGAAACCTCGCCAGGTAGTTTGGCCGGGAGCCAGAGAAATAGCGGTAAAAGAGCTTACATCAGGGAATTTCGTGGCAGCGTTTGGTTTGGGGGCGTTCTCCTATAATCAACTTTCTATTAAGCGGGTTTTTTTTATTTTTATTTTTTTTTTTTTTTTACACAAACGAAAGTGCCTTGATAGGACAATTTAGTGCTCCGCGCCCCCCAACGAAATTTATATCGCTGAATTGTCGGTGTTTTTTTTTTTTTTTTTTTTTTTTTTTTTATGCGCGTTACGGCTGGACAACGCACCCTCATCCGTTTCGCTCAGTCCAACCGCCGCCGACGCTACGATTCGTCAGACCCAGTCAAGCAGAGCTAAAAGTGCATCCTCACCGCGGCCTTTGTTTTTGGGGGTTCACTAATCAATCATATTATGACTATCCTATTATGATTCATGGATTATCACTCTCGTATTATTTGAGTTTCGTCGATCTCGAATTTACAATGCTGTTGCCGTCCTCGAAAAAACCGACACGTTTACTGGGAGACCGCGCCCGTTTTCCCCCCCTTCAAAACATATAGAAATGCGTAAGAACGAGCTCGTTGTAATTATGAACACTTCAAATATAAACAATAAAAAAACACGGAGAACGTGGTTGTCCGTAAACGTTCTCCGTGATATATATATATATATATATATATATATTTTTTTTTTCTTTTTTCTTTTTTATGTTTGTATATATAAGCGTGTTTCGCCATCTGAATACATCTATTATTCATAAATTGAGAAAATATCACTATATTTCGACGCCCAAGTCCCATAACGACTTCCATCGATCTCAACTTGGCTGACTCGGTTGGTGTTGGAAGCCTTGCGTAGATACCGTGTTCGAATCGTTGCTCTTGGACATGTGGAAAAGGTGGCTGAAAGCGGAAATCAGGGCAAGTACCTGCAACAAAGGCGTGAAAAACAGGTTAGTGTATATTCCCTTCGCGTGAAAACGCGCCGCTGACCAAACTTTAGTCGTTGCTCGAAACGGGGGATTAAGAAAGAAAAAAAGAAAAGAAGAAAACATTTACAAAAGTTCAAATCTATAGTTGCATACAAAGAGGTAGGGGGTACTGGCGCGAATACTCGAGTTCTATGGTGTGCAAAACCTCCCTTTAGAGAGACGAAGTACAAATTGTGTTTCGAAAATACAAATAGAAGCACCGTGTTTTAGAAAGAGGCAATCTTCAACGCCTCAACAACCCTTTTCCTCCTCCTGCGCTGCAGAGACTCGTTTTGCGCCCACTATTGGAACCCCTTCTTGCCGTTCTTATTTTGCACGGTGTAAAACTCTCCACGTACTTCTTAAATTTTACAAAATATTCTCTATAGAAATGTCGTTGGAAACTAAACAAACGAAAACACACGATTAAGCGCGCCATCACCTGGATGACAACATCTAAAGTGATTTTCTTTCCGAGCGTAATTGTAGGCTTTTTGCTTTAGTGCCCAAGAAGGCTCTGTGATCTAATTGGCCCGCGCTATGTAATTCATTCACAGAATAATTCTAGTTTTATTTCGGTACGTGTCTTCGCACGAGTATGTATGTCGGGCGTGCGACAATGTTCAGGGAAGAAGATCTGTGCGAGTGTGTGTATGCAAGCGCGTTAGTGTGCCATATGAGCGTGCGCATGTGTGTGCCTGAGTATACGCCCAAATGCGTGTATGAGTGCGCGTATGAGTGCGGTGTGCGCGCGTGAGTGTTTTCTCGGCGGGAACGCGTAGCAAGTAACGGTTTTACCGGTAACGCAGTAACTTATTCAATACTTTTTTTCAGTAACACCTACAACACTGTGTGTACTATGCTTTTATTTAGAACTAGGCCTCCGGAGTAAAACACGACCTCCTCGACATCTCTGCCGGATTTAGTGCGCGTGAATGTGTTCGCCTCCACTTTACGGTTTCCGTTGCCGGAACCGCGAACCAAAAGATCTTTCGTGCAATGGAAATCTTGGAGGCCTTGAACACAGCCATGAACTGTGAGACAGCCATTGACACAACGCGCACATTTAATGCAGCGGTCGGTAGCTGGCGCCACTGCCTTAGAAGCTGTCCACGTCTCGAGCGAGGCGCGCGAGGAAACAGCTTTGAACTGTCGTTTCAGCGCTTCATGGACAAATGAAATTCTTCCTACGGGCTTCATGCATTTTTCTACTTATTGTCACCCGTATTTTGAAGAACAACAGGTGCACTTCATGTGTACGCCGAAAAGGACCTTTCTTGCATACATTAAAATGGAAAAGGCGAATAGTTTGTACGGTGTTGCAAAACTGAAAGCGCCAATTAGCTTTCCGTTGCGTAACTTTTTTTTTTTTTTTACATATTTGTATTTTCCAAGGCTATCCAGGACAAATATATAATGACCTGCGAGCTAAACAAGCAAGTAACTTACCCCTGCCATCACTGTTTCCGCGTGTTGTGCCTCGAGAACAACGGCGAACCCACAAGCAAGGTAGATCACTGTCCCGAACACGTTGAACAAGAAGAACTGCGTTGGAAGAAAAATGGCGTTAGGATGCATAGTATTTTAGACGTACGCGACGGAAGGTGTCGCGGCGATCGCCTCTTAATTCATCGACCAAAGCTCCTTTGACGCCGCGGGTAGGATTATGTCAGCTCGGCAGATTATTTAGACCTTATACAACAACAGCAAAAAAAAAACGTCAAGCAACATTGCCGGTCACCGTTTTTTGGGCACTGTTACCAGCCCCTGAGTGGATCCGAGTTTACGCCGAACCTTGACGCACCACTCGTGTCCAATAGACGCTCGGAGAGCAAGCGAAAAATGTGGAGGCCTCGAATCATTGGATCAGCAGCGACCAGTCACTTTTGTGAAGGGTCGCGTCTGCTAAGGGAGACATGTCTGACTGTGTGCGAGTATGCTCTGAAGTCGGGGTCACACTGTTCATACATTCCAGAAGACAGTCTGAAAACAGGAGTCACCGCAGTATCCGTGGTTCGAATGCCGCGTGCAAAGTTTTCTCCTTAAACTCATGGCCATGCGGCATTCGAAGCACAAATTTCGCTGTGACTAGCGTTCGAATCTGTATGCAGACTGTCCTTTTGTATGGTGCATGAACAGTGTGACCCCGGCTTTAGAGGTTCTTGTTTGAATGTTCAGAACGTCTCGCTTTTACAAGTAGGTCACCTCTCTTGATACCTCAGACGTTAAAATGCTTCGGGATTTGCGTATAATATAGGTAAAAAAAATACTCATTCAGGTCGCATTTTTCAGGTTTTGCGTGCTTCAAGCTTTCCAGAATGTCCGCACACCTAGACATCAGTTTGAAAGGACTTACAAAAAGTGTGCTGGACAGCAGGGTCTCCGTAGGAGAAAAACATTCTGAAAGAAATACGTAGAGGCACGTCAGCCCGTAGGAAAACGATATGAGCATCAGTAAATTGCCGCCGGTGCTGAGCCCAGTGACGTTGTAGAGCAGCTCAAACGTGGCGATCCCAAGACTCTGAAATAAACCGTAAGCATGCAGTCACCCCTAGTTTCAAAAGGTGCCTGCTACAGTTAGCTCAATGTAGTATAAAACGAATGCAACCTAGTGGCCCACTCAGCCCGTAGCCTTTAGCGTGACCTTGTATACGGATTCTATTATAGAATCCGTATACCCTTACCTTGTACCCTTGAAAAGCTTGCGGTCATGGTGAGCACAGGGAAGGCTCTGGTGTTTTAGAAACCTATTTTTGACCCGTGCTTAAGTCGGATTTGAGTAGTTCTTTGAAATACGACTAAGGATGGAACGAGCCATTTTCTCGAAACATGTTTCGGACACAAAACAAGGGGTTCAAAAAGTTTCGGAAGAACGACCGAACATCGGTGTGTTTCGGATAGGTTCGGATAGTTTCGGAGCGTTGCCAGTGTAGCCAGACCACATTAGTGAGCATGGCATTTTTTTTAACAAAACAATCTTATGAACTACGTTAAATAATTACAGTTTTAAATATAAATACCTAATTTAACAAAAAAGGCTTGTTGGGATAAAATCTGACATCCGGAGAAATAAAATAACGGACAACACGTGTCGTTGGTCAAAATGGCCTCGATTTCACAACTTCCATAGTCACGTCGTCACGTGACCAAAACAAAGTGGGCAGATAGGTGAAATCGATTATCACAAACCGCAACGCTCGTTTTCATCGCATCAATAGCTCGACGACGTGTGTGATGTTCGTTCCAGGCTCCGGGAACGCTGCGGCTTACGTTGACGCAACACAAGTGGCATGTGGAAATGACAGTGTCGGAAGATCTCCGCCAGCTGCGTTGCGCAATCAAAAATATGCGCACGTGCTGCCCGAAACCTCCTGTACTGTAGACGTGTATCATGTTTATAAGAAATAAACATATACTTCGTCTCACCCTACGATGGACTAAAGGAAAAAGCTACGGACCGACAGATCCAATCACGAGCCACTTAGAAATTGTGTGCTATTTCGCTTCGAGGCACGTATCGGAGCCCGCGTCTCGTATCATTGGTGGGGATGGGCGGACAGTGGTTCGAAATGAATAGCAATAAGTGACTCAACAACTTTAAATTACAAAAATAAGCCACGACGTGCAGGCTCTTTGCAGCGTCGAAGCGATAGAAATGATGTAGCGCTTTTGGGTTCGGAGCATCATTCGTTCACCCCTAATCAATGCTGAGCATGTCATAGGTTAGCGCGGAACGTGATCGGACCTGGCGGCCCGTGGCTTTTGCCTTTAGTTCATCGTAGGGTGAGACGAAGTATAGTAGATCCACGTAGAGTTGGTTCCAACGAACTTCACTCTAAAAAAAGTCTGTGCGTCTACTTTCGCGCACAACACTCGGAGAGCCAATCCCCTCAACTTAGGGAGGCAGTTTAGCGAATTACGATGCCGAAACAGATGTTTAAACCGAAAAAACGCACTCTTGAGTTGTGACATTAAGCAATGAAAAGCGTGACGTTTTGCATTGCTTAATGTCACAACTCAGTCTGCGTTTTTTGGTCTAAACATATGTTTCGGCATTGTCATTCGCTGAGCTGCCTCCGTTAGTTGCGCTGATTGGTTCTCCGAGTGTTGTGCGTGAAAGTAGACGCAGACTTTTTTTATAGTGTTGATTAGTGCAGCATCAACGCGGGTACCTATATACGTACCTTTCCAAAGGGACGCACCGAACGACTATTCTTCAGCAGCACAGGCTGCAAACAAAAGGCGGTGACAGACCTTCGCGAAGCTAAAGCCATTTGCACAGTATATACAGATTAACGAAGTTCGCTTCGTTTCGTGTCACTATCTGCTGCAGTGACTATGTAACTTATTCCTAGTTCTTCAGAAATATACTAATCTATTGCTTACCCGAAGACGTTTATTGCTTGCGCATTACAGTTAGTCGCCTTTCACACAGAATGCTCTGCTGAAGACCACTAGCAGCGTGTTTCCAGAGTGGATATGAAATCACTGATAAATCAACCGTGATTCGTGACCGACATGTTCGGGAGACCTGCACACTGCACCTAGAGCTCTGACACTTGGACAGGCAAAAGCTACCATAGAGCTTTACCATAGGGCTTTGCTTGTTGAACTCCGGCCGTCAGTTCAGCCGTCACTTCGAGCACGGATCAAGAACGCGCACGATAGGTCAACACGCCCGCAAGCCTCAACACATGATCGTAGGATCTACGAAGATCCCTCACACACCGCGGGCAACCTGGTATGCATTGCTATAACGCCGAAAATAAACTAAAACTGATCGAATTTCGAACTGTATCAATGTTTAGTCTTTAAAACACTCACAGTGCCCACAAAACGAAAAGGAACAATGTCATGTTGGCTAGATTTCGACGAAACTGTCGAACCTTTATGACAACCGAAACTTCGTCCAAAAAGTTTCGGAATCTTCCGATATAGTCCGAAACCGAACCTCCGGAGCTTCACCCCATCCCTAAATGTGACTATGATGCCACGAGCACCACGCCCGTGCTGCGCTTTTTAGTGAATTTAGACCCGTGGCTTTATTACGTAGTTTCATCTGTGCTTCACTAGAGCAAGAGGGAGCATAGTTTATTTGTCTGTTTCATTTTTTTGCAGCGCGCGCAGTAGTTGCCGCGCGCACAGTAGTGTTCGCGGTTGTATAATTAAACTCATATGCTTTAAGAGATTCCACGGAGGTAAGTTAGCAAGTTTCACTGAAATAAAAGGCGTCTTTATGTGTGTAAAAGCACTTTTTTTATGCCCTAATAACAGCACCGAAAAAAAAAAAAGAAAAGAGTACCCTTTCCTACCAATCAGTGGTTCGAATTTCCCCAAACACTAACAAAGGCAACAGGACGGGTGTTCCTGAAAACATTATTAATATTTTTTTTAAACTGCTAAACCTACTCACCAGCTCGAGCAACGTTAGGAAACTACTGACACTGGACAGGAAACGTCTGTTAAAACCACCGCTCCAGAAATGTGATTTCTCATTCGGTGCTGCTGTCGTCGTGGTCTCACGCCGAGTCGGTGCGGACGACATAATCGCTGTTTTCACCCTGCGTAGGCGCATTAAATACGGCTGAGTATGCGCTGTTTGCTTGTGTCGAAGGTACGCATTTTGATCAATGTGTCCGCTTAGTTTCGAGGAACACAAAGTAATGAAGACATATCTGCATCACATAAAAACTAATTCATTTTAGACATCCGTCGGCTGCATTGAGGATTGGAAACAAAACGTTCTCGGTTGTTAATAACGCTTTATGAAATTAGTGAAGCGAAGCATTTCACTGTTAAAGATCATGTATATATTTTTTTGTTTGCAGTATTTTTGCGAACTACATAATGTGATTTTAAACATATACCTATGCTGTTAGTCCCAAAAGTTAAATTATTAAGTCTATCATCCCCGGCGGTGTATTTTGTGGGTTACTATACTGTACGCTAAGCCATAGCTATAGTCGTCTGGCAGTGATATTTTTATTACGGTTGTATAGAGTTTTGGTTCAACCTCATAACTGTCTACCTTTAAACCCTGGTGATCATACCTTTCCACCAATCGCAAAAAGGAAATCAGACCTGGGTCACTACAATCATTTTAGTTTTTTTTTTTGTTTTTTTTTTCAGTGGGACGTGCACAACGACGAGCCCAACAGTCAAAACGTTTGCAGCAAGGCAATATAACGAGGTTCCGTGCAAGACCCAATTTAAGTAAGGCTTTACATGTAAAGATCTCGTGCCTGCCTTTTCCCGTAGTATGCGAGGAGGCAGTGAAGATCTTAGCAAATTACAAGATTCAAATACGACTTAACCACAACTTTAGCTGCAACCTCTCTGGTCGTTATTCGTGGTATTTCCATATGATCGTTGACTAAACGCAGAGACGTCTTAGAGAGAAAGTGTATTTCTTGTATTTGCAGCCTACAACACTTGCACCTAACTATCGTGTTTGGCAAGTCCCCCAGATCAGGAGAGTCATACCGTAATGAAGAGCAGCAGTTTACCCCACTTTTGTGCTGTCCACACAAAGAGAATAATACATTTCTTCTTCGTTTCAGCTGATGCATCCCTGGTGCATCAAGCAGGACGTAAAAAAATAGCCTTTTTTTTTTCAGAAACTTTATCTCGGAGTTGCAATATTTTCAAAGTCCCCGACATTTAAAAATTCAGAACCTGTAAAATATAACAATGATTTGATAGTGTAAGGAAATAACTAACCTTAAGCTTATAGAAACGCAAAGCTAATTAAAATATATTAAATAGCACGCTTGAAAGCTTACCGATCTTCGACAATATGATGAAAAGGAGACGGATAACATTAAAAACGCCGTAAATATATGCAAGCCGATCGATTTTAAGTTCATAGAAACGGGCATCAGTAAGATGTGCGACATGCGTCCGGTGGAAGAAACATGAGTTTCTGCTCCGTTCGCTTCAACGCCCAATGTCCTGAACACAGCATCTTCAGCCTACACTCCAGATTTTAAAATGCTCCGAAAAATATTTCATTCGTCGAAATGAAATGTATGACCCAAGGCTTGCCCGTGAGGTGAAACCATCTATAAAAACATTTATCATATATGTGTGCATATCAAAGACTCAAGATAATTTCTAGCACTATTCGCCTAATAAGGAATACAGCAGGGTAGCAACCCCGCACGGTTTACAAAAACCTCGAATTGTAAAGGCTGGATCTTCGTATTTCTTTATCTATTGGTACAAAAATTCTTCCAATCTGCTCAAAACAACTGGTGACATGTCTACGTGACTACAGACTTACCGCAGCCTGCCGGTCTTACCTCCAAGGTTCGACGAGAAATGAACCCAGTGTACTTTGGCAATACCAACGCCAACACGTCTGTATCAAGCAATCATTAAGGAGCTGGAAAGCTTCAGCTACTGCTGCAATCAAATTGACGTCGAACCTCTCGGTGCGATACCGTTGAGTAGGTTCTCCAGTGCCTGAAAGTGACTGATGTAACTTCGCCTTCCGCTGATGTTTGATAACCTGCTTCGATGACCTTTACTGTTCGGATGAGATAACACTTGATACGCAGTGTTTTCCGAGCTCGTGACAAAACATCCCGTAGCAAGACAGCACTCGGCCAAAACAGCACAGTCAGGATGGCACACACAAAACGAAAAACTATTTCAGGTACAAAACAGCACAGTGAAAAAACGTTACCGTGACAAAACAGCAGAAGGCGGCGGTGCAGAGCTCCAAAGAAGATCGGGCCCAAAAGCACGGACCCTCAACGTATTTTGTGCAGTTCAAATTCAAATGTTTATTAAGCGCCCTTAGTTGGCTATGCGGCTTTTGTTGCCACCATGTTTCGACACATCAAAGATCTTAAGTGGGTCCGGCAATTTTAAAACCAGAGGCAAAAGAAACATGTTTTGATACAGCTGTTCCGTTTCATCCTAAGGATTGCGAGGAAGTATCTAGTCGCAGGGGTTTCTAACACAAAAATAAATGGGCGAGCAGAAATAGTTTAGAAATACCTCGTTTCTACCCTATAATTGATCAGTAACCATGGTATGGACCTGTTCATATCACGCATTAAAGGGGTAAATTGAGTGTACGTCTTTTTTCATAATTTCCATATCTTTAAGAACAAATACCTATAGCCGCAATTTTAAATTCATAAACTTAAAAGCTTTTTTTTTTTCGTAGACTCCATCCTTTGAATTGTTTAAGTTTTTTTTTTTTTTTTTTTTTTTTGCTTGCTATAATGATCACGGTTGTATTCCTGCAAAGGTCAGCGGCCTACATTGAAAAGCTAGTCTCTTTGCGCATTACACAGTAAATTTCGGCGCATAACAATTACAACCATGATTAATTATACCTGAGAGTGTAATAAGAAAAGGGGAATATCAAACAGTTTAAGAGACAGAAAAAAGGACAAGGCGACGTATCCTTGCCAATTTTTGTCTCTTCAACTGTCTGATGTTTCCTTTTTCTTACCAGAGTTTCAGGTATAACTAATCATGGTTAACCTTCACCAGCTCGCCTGCACGCTTACTATTTTTTCGCTAACATTTACAATAAAAGAATGAATGTCTTATATTGAGATTTACGCATTTGCGTTTACGTTTTCATAAAGTACAACTTTGCTTGGTATTGATGGTTAAAGGATGGGACACCGTAATGTTCAGTCAACCTTGACCCCCCCGTCCTGTGCAAGTCAATGCGCACAAGTTTGGTTCGCATCGCGGATGGGATTCATGTCAATCACCTGGCAAATCTCAGTTCTGCTTGTTATATATTGCAATATCTATTTCAGATCTTTGATTAATACAACATTCATTACTCGGCGCGGTTTCCGACAGTCAGGTGCTCAGTGACTAAAATGAAGAATGTCTTACCTCGAAAGTTTGTGGCGTAGTTCATAAGTTGCACAAAAAAATTCTAACAAAATCAAATTGCAAAAAAAAAAAAAAAACGATGGCTCTTGTGTTTAAAACGTGTACGCTATAATAAAATAACAACTGAAGTCATCACGTGAAGTGGGAAATTCGTAACTCTTTTCATTACTGTTCTGTAGGTGACGAATATACGTAGTTGCGGGATGTTTATTTTTAGCTTCCCAACAAAGTCTATGCATTTTTCGTCGTAAAAAAAAAAAAGCAAAAACATTACGATGTTGCTTGTAACACGCCGACGTAGCGCTATTTTCTTTTTTCTTTCTTTCTTTTTTTTTTTTTTTGTCTCTCTTTGACTTGTTTTCTTGGCTTCCCTTTCCCACCATTACGCACTTCCTCGTTGGATGCTTCGGGCGGGAAAGGTGCCAGACGGTCAAGCAAGACCACCTTCGCATTGCGCTCCTAACGGCACATGACCACCAACGTCGCCTCAGTCACTCACTAGTGGCATGGGAATCAGTTTGGTCACAATGCGAATGTCATGATATCAACGAATGCTCCGAAAAATATAACATTTGGAACTCTACAAAGAAAATTAAAAGGTAAGCTTCAACGATGCTGGTTGCCACTACAGTCACTGGCAGCTTCAAAAGCTGCCAGAGACTTCGTCGGCCAGAGGTTTAGGATAATGTTACGTGTCGCGGAACGCAAACGCTTGCTGCACCGTTTTAAACAACAAAATGTACTTCAGCGCTTTAGCCCGAAAAGTACTCATTATTATCAACGACAATCAAACCAAAGTCCGTCTAAAAGCAATGAGCACCTTCGTTTGAATAGCTTGAGCACATTTTGTTTTCAAACAAGCGCGTAAGTTGTCGAATTGACGGAATGGCACCAGCAAGCGCGTTCGGTCAAATCACACCCGCGCCACAAGGACCGCGAATGCACTTCCTGTAGCAAATCGAAGATTCCTGGCGAAGTCCTGCTGAAACTTGGACAAGTCGTTCAGAGCACCGCATGTGGGGACTTCGCTCAGAAACGCGATGTTGTCTCAAGTCGTGAAGCGAAGGCACATCCTGCAACCGGCTTTCCCCCGCAGTCTCGCGGAGTCTCGCACGCCGCGAGAGGCGCACTCAAGGCACGCAAAACGCTCTGCAAGCCGCAGGCACACTTTCTAAAATAGCGGAAGCACGCAACACGCAAAAGCCAACTTCGCCTTCGGCGCAAGCTCGGTATGAACACTCAACTTCTTTGCGTATGCAAGGTTTCGTCCATCACGCTATACTAAAACTTCCTAATCTTCGGGAATGGTACAGTAGATATGCTCCTAGTAAGTTTCATAATTCGTATCACTACTGTTCTCAATTCGCTTTCGTAAAAAACATAAAAAAAAATGGAAACAATGTTTTAGCAGGAATGACTTTCAATGCCTTACTACTATAGCAGACATGTCAAAACTGGTTAATTAGTTTTATTGCGTCGACCGAGACTCAATATAGCACACAATATGCATGTCAACAGAGTTTTGTACGAGATAGAACAACTTCAAGAGATCAATCACGACGGGACATGGCTTGTGATTTCCCCGATCGTGTACCATCCTTTTTCTGTGTAGAGTTCATGGTTGTAACATTTTTGTTTTCAGAACGCATGGTAATAATATTGGCAGTGGGGAAAATAAACGAACAACATTAAACGAAAACAGTCTATGATAGTAAAACGTAACTAGCGAGCATTAGGCGACGTTCTGGAAGAAAGACTGTTATGATTTCCATTACAGACGATCGGTCCTGTGTTGATAAAACACTGGTCAGCCCATTATTGTCTAATAAATATAGCTGACTAGGATTTTAAACAATTCAATTTTTTGGGGGATGCTTAGAACACTGTGTTTTCGAACTATTTATTTCAAATCAGAAAAAACCGTTACGTACCATTTTTTTTTTTGGATCCTGTTTACAATTTTAGAATGATGAAAAAAATGTACTGATCGAGAGCTCCTTTGTAAAGAAATCACATTGTAAAATCAGCTCTCAATGTTTTCAACTACACCAATGGCACGTGAGCTGATTGTGTAGAAGCATCGCACACTCCAATGAATGCACACTGAATACTCGTTCATCTGCATGCCATCTTGGAATACGCTGAAAAAGTAAGACAGGTGACAGTGGATTTCCATTTCCGTTGCATACCAATTTTGCACTGCTGCATAGCCTCTAAACACTAAAAGTAATAAACAAAGCTTACACACACGCGTGTAAAGAGAGCGTTCAAAACGTTAACTAAACGTTATATTAGTTATTACAGTGAGCAATTTTTAATTTCTCATTTTTTGCTGACTAATTGTCTCCGTTACAAAATGTTTTTGTGGATATAAAGTAAAAGTTATATGGAAACCATGGGCCCGCCGATTTTTATTAAGTAAGCAGTGAACACTATCAGGGTTACAACTAAAGGTTTATCAACGTTCAAGCGGAGGCCGCACTTCATGAGGTCCATGCTCGATGCATTATTAAACATTAATAGCAACTCTGAAATACCTATACATGTTTGAACAATATACGCAAAGACACTCACACAGTTTAACCTTGTGTTATCGTAACTTGAAAGCAACGCAGTATTTAATCATACATTCATTTTTATGTATTCCACAAGAACTTTAATAGCCGTCCTATAGACAATTTTACGATAATTGTCGGAAAATCCAGACATGGATATTTAACAACTTTGTGACTGTTAGCTTGAAGCAGCGTTGATCTCCAATTACCTAAGTCTTAGAGGATGTCCTAGCACTTGTGGAATAAAGCACAGCGCAAAAGAAATGATATGACACTATCATAATCCTTAGGTGAGCTCAAAAGTAACAACACTTCTTGTCCCGGCTGGAACCCCTGGAATCACGATCAACCCTGGATTCGAGATCCTTTGTACAAAAATGCAACGTGGACGAGATGACAGACCGCCGCTATCAACGCAAAAACCTGAAAAAATAATAGAACATATGATTTAATAAGAAACACTCAAACATCGTAACTGCCGTTTCAACTAATTATTTCGACAGTTTCAAAAGTCGTTTCAGCAAGTCGATTCAAGGACTTTGTTTAAAAAAAAAAAAACGCGCTTCAATGCGTTGCTTTAAAAAGTTACTTCAAAGAGTTCTCTCACAAGGTTGCTTCAGAAAGTTGCTTTAAAAGTTGCATCAAAGTGTTCTTAAAAAAGTCGCTTCAAGAAGTTATTTGAGAAGTTGCAGCAACAAGTTGCATCAAAACGTTGCTGCGAAATGTCGAAATTCTCTTGACCGATTACGGAGTGTCAACCTTTCAACCTTTAGGCTTTTAAACTTTAAATTATATATATATATATATATATATATATATCAGTGTGTCGAACCGAAAAAAATACGGGTTCGGTTACGGTTCAGGTGAATTTATTTTGTTCCGGTTCAGTTCCGGTTCGATTAATTCAATCCGCGAACCGGTTCGCGAACCGGTTCGGGGCGCTGAACCGGTTCGCGAACCGGTTCGGAAATTATAAATGACAGATTGCAACATCAAACTAAATTACAAATAAAACATCTGAAATCAGCACATACGAAACGGGATACATCGTAGTGTAAGGCTCAGGGATTTCTACCAGGAATGGTTTCTTTATGTGCACTCAAAGGTTACCTCACCGACGTTTACGCGTTCGGACTTCATCTAATTGGGTCCGACGCAGTAGCTGTAAAATCCGCGACCTCCTTACAAACCCACTTACAAGTAGAACTCGCTAACTATCCCGCCACCTCGGCGTGTAAGCAATTGAAGGAACAGTGGGGAGAAAATACAGCTTTCTTTATTTGAACTTGCCTTCGGTAACTCAAATTAGACCCTTAAAGAAGTTTTCATTAAACAAGATACGAAATATGAAAAAAACTTCACCGAACGCAACGCCAGAAGGACGTAATAGGATAAATATTAAAATAGAAGAGTTCGCTGTCTCACAAATATGTTAGCTTCTAAGTGCCTATACGAAACCGGATGCATTATTATCAAACTCCACAGCCTTTTCTTTTCTCATTCCGATGGAAGCAAGCTTCAAGAACTCGCGCGTTCTAGAAACGTGTTATGAAATGAGCACACAGCAGCATTTAGGATTTACGAGATTGTAGGAAAATGAAATACTGTGACGCGATTTTTTTTTTTTTTTTTTGCACAGCCTTCCAATTTTCTTTTTTCCGTGCAAGCCGCGACCAGCGCAATACTGGTTCCTATGTCAAGATTCATGGATGCAGCGTTTGTCAAGATTCATGGATGCAGCGTTTATATTCCTAAGACTGAGTGGAGAAGAAAAATATGTAAGCGAGGTGTGTGTCAGTTGACGGCACTTAAAAAACAAATGGCATTGATAGCACATTCATTGTCAACAGCGCGTGGCCGAACCGTTTTATATCAGGGTGTCGAACCGGAACCGAACCGAACCGAAAACCGGAACCGAACCGGTATTTTTTCCGGAACTGAACCCGAACCCGAACCGTTATATTGTTATCGCGATGAACCCGAACCGGAACTGAACCGGAAAAAAAATAACGGTTACCGGCTCATGTCAAAACGGTTCGGCCACGCGCTGTTGACAATGAATGTGCTATCAATGCCATTTGTTTTTTAAGTGCCGTCAACTGACACACACCTCGCTTACATATTTTTCTTCTCCACTCAGTCTTAGGAATATAAACGCTGCATCCATGAATCTTGACAAACGATGCATCCATGAATCTTGACATAGGAACCAGTATTGCGCTGGTCGCGGCTTGCACAGAAAAAAGAAAATTGGAAGGCTGTGCAAAAAAAAAAAAAAAAAATCGCGTCTTAGTATTTCATTTTCCTACAATCTCGTAAATCCTAAATGCTGCTGTGTGCTCATTTCATAACACGTTTCTAGAACGCGCGAGTTCTTGAAGCTTGCTTCCATCGGAATGAGAAAAGAAAAGGCTGTGGAGTTTGATAATAATGCATCCGGTTTCGTATAGGCACTTAGAAGCTAACATATTTGTGAGACAGCGAACTCTTCTATTTTAATATTTATCCTATTACGTCCTTCTGGCGTTGCGTTCGGTGAAGTGTTTTTCATATTCCGTATCTTGTTTAATGAAAACTTCTTTAAGGGTTTAATTTGAGTTACCGAAGGCTAGTTCAAATAAAGAAAGCTGTATTTTCTCCCCACGGTTCCTTCAATTGCTTACACGCCGAGGTGGCGGGATATAGTTAGCGAGTTCTACTTGTAAGTGGGTTTGTAAGGAGGTCGCGGATTTTACAGCTACTGCGTCGGACCCAATTAGATGAAGTCCGAATGCGTAAACGTCGGTGAGGTAACCTTTGAGTGCACATAAAGAAACCATTCCTGGTAGAAATCCCTGAGCCTTACACTACGATGTATCCCGTTTCGTATGTGCTGATTTCAGATGTTTTATTTGAAATTTATTTTGATGTTGCAATTTGTCATTTATAATTTCCGAACCGGTTCGCGAACCGGTTCAGCGCCCCGAACCGGTTCGCGAACCGGTTCGCGGATCGAATTAATCGAACCGGAACTGAACCGGAACAAAATAAATTTACCTGAACCTGAACCGTAACCGAACCCGTATTTTTTTCGGTTCGACACACTGATATATATATATATATATATATATATATATATATATATATATATATATATATTCTAATTTGATGGCGAAAAAAGTCACGCTACAAAAAAGGGTGAAGTGCCGAAAAAAAGTTGTATTAGTTTACGGGAATAATGAAGGCGAGGCACAAGAACGCTAATTACGCGGGAAAGAAACTTGAAAAAGGACGGAATAAAAGTCAAAGTTAAAACACAAAAACTTACAAAAATAAATTGTTATATGGAAAATAAAATAAAGAATTAAAAATAAAAAATGAATAATTTTTAATTCTTTACTTTATTTTCCATTTAACAATTTATTTCTAGGTCTAAACGGAACATCCGTTTAGACCTCAAAATGAAGTCTGCGCTGGTGGCATTACACAATGCAAAGCGTCGTGCTTGCATTGCGGAATGCCACAGCGCAGACTTCATTTTGAGCTCTAAACAGATGTTCCGCCTCATCATTCACTGAGCTGATATCGTAGATCACAGATATTGGCTTTTCGAGTGTTTTGCGGGCATGTAGACGCGCAGGAATTTCTTAGAGTGTAGCTGCCAGATCATTTATAAATACCAAAAATAGCAACGGGCCGAGTACATGCAGAGCTTTGCGGCACCCCTGATAAAACTGGAACTGTGGGGGATGAAACATCATCTACGTGAACAAATTGTTGGCGTTGAAATAAGTAGCAGTCCAACCATCGCAAAATCGTATCGTTATAGAACAAGTTTCTTAGTTTATAAATATGTTAATGCCAGACCTTATAGTAGTGCTCCAGCGCATATAATATTTAAAATGCTCTAATGAAGAAAAAAAAAAACTTCCGTTGTTTTTTGCAATTGCGGGTACATGAAGGTGGAATGTTTTAGTTGATACAAGTACATTAGCAACAAAACAAAACTGTGCGGAATAAGTATAAAGTAATAGGACAAAATTATGCATGACGGTGATCCTATCGCCGCTTGGCTTGGCTTGGCTAAGATGAGTCATGCTCCGACGGTAAGCAAAAGTATGGATCGATAACGAAAACTATAAGCCATTTGCACAATATTTGCAGACACGGGGATCAGGAAGAACCAAGCCTGCGGTTTCGTGACAGCTATAAAGCTTGTTATCTTCTTCGAAAACAAACGGCTACTTTTCTTCTTTTTTTGCTTCCCCGACTGACGTCATGTCAGTTACACCAGTTCAAATGATCTAATTAATTTTGACGCCATATATAGGCCATTCTAATAACCACCTTCTACAAGGTGCCATCTTTGGTAGTGGGCTGTGGACCACGTTCTGGGTAGGCGCTGTAGCTCCTTTCTGCGGAGCGTCAGACGCCGCGGACGCGTCCCCAGCCCAGTGGCTCGTCATTTTTTACCTGGGTGGTAAGTGCTGGGAAGGTGTATAAAGGAAGCACCCAAAGTCAAGTGAAGCAGAAAGTAAAGGAACAGAGAAACAACTTACGCCTGCCGCTATGATGCCACCAAAATAAGATGAATTCACTGTGAACACCGCAAGCACTGCGATGCCACCGCTGATGTAGAGGACGAACCCAAACGCATGGAAGAGGAAAAACTGGGGAAACAAAAATTGAAGGAACCGTAAAAGACGAGCGCAAAGAGTACTACGTTTCATTCATAATGTATACAATGCTGTCAAAGCTGCTGGCGCGAGCGCGTGGCTTGATCATCCAGCACCTCGTATGAAATGCCAAATCTATACAGTTTGTTTCACGTTATGTGCGTTCGGAGCATAGGCTATAGACCTATTGCTACATTACCCAAGCATCAAGGCGAATGCAGGGATTGGTGTTCCACGCACCACACGTGCTAGAGTCAGCACTGCAGTAGCAACCTTTCCAAAGCAAATACCTAAAACAAATGACATCTTGCACGCGCGTTTGTCAGCGCTTTATTTTGGTTATTTACTTCGAATATTTTAAACGGGGAAGGCGTGAGCGTATGGCGCGTGGAACACCAATCCCGGCATTCTCCTTGATGCTCGGGTAATACAGCAAATGGTCTATTAGCGACGTGCGCGACCAAAAGCGTTGCTGCGGTCCGCATTCGCGATTGGCGAAACCATAACTTCCAGTATACTGATAATCTTCCATCGTAAACCGGAGACACGGAAAAATAAAAAAAAAAAACGACAAAACAACAACAAGTCTCAAGCACAGCTTCTAGTTTATTTGAACACCTCCGCTCTTATATATACACCACAACCCTCCTCTCCAAGGTCGAAGCACCTCCTCTCCACTCCATCAACGACATCTCAAACTGAACCAATGACACATGCTACCTCCCTTCCTTTCATACCAACCAAAAACTGAACCAGACGACCTCCTGATAATACCTGCCCAATCGCCGGTTCACGGCAAGGCAAATCCTGCCAATCACAGCTAGGCAAATCCTGGTCGTCACGTCACGAACGGAAACCATAAGAGGGCGCCACTGAAACATTTCGGCGCTAAAAGGCACGAGCATGTTTCCCTCGACTATGTTTGCACTACACAAGCGTGCGTGCATGGCAGAGACAGTATAATACCCCATTCACACGACCAGCATAAAGGTACCTTTAACATAGGTCCCTTTGCAGCCAGCGAATCAGCCCGCGCTAGTAGATCGCGAGCATATGCCACGCGCGGAGGATCGCGAACTGATATGCCTTTCGCCATAAAGGTCCCTTAGCTTGTGGACGCTATAGGGGCGCCACTGTGTGTAAAGAGCGCGGGGGGCGCTACCCCCTGTGAAAGAACGCATAAAAGCAGCAGCGGGGACGCCGACGAAAGGAGAGAGAAGCGGGGCCTGGAGCGAAAGGTACACGCTGCGGCGGTGTCAACCAACGACCTTGTTATTACTAACTTCATGTTTACAATTTACTAATAAATGTAGTTTCACGTTTTCCGAAATCCTGGCTCCGTGTTGTTTCGCCGGGTTGGGCACGCAGCAAGGCAACTTTCCCACATGGCGCCCAACGTGTTTTGCTGCCCTCCTGTCGAACTGACGCGGGTCTGGGGTTTCATCGCTCGGTAAGATTTTTCAACCGTGGCGTTTCTCTTCGAAGTAGTGCACCGTGTCGGCGTTGCGTGTATTCACGACAGCGCGATTGCCCGTTGAATTGGAGCCGCAAAGCATTGCTTAATCACGCGGGCGACGCTTTGGGGGCGTGTTCATCTTTCGTTAGTCGAGTTACCGTCTGTTGCCGCACACCCTTTTCTTGTCTGCTTTGCGTTTGTTTTTTTCCGCCATATCAGCCACCACGGCCACCAGGGCCGGGGGACCCATTCGAGGTGGCGACCACGGTCACCCAGGCCACAAGGACAGGGGCCGGGGCCATCACGACGAGATCAGGGCAACGCGGACTTTCACATCCTCTGCCGCCGCTGCCGGCGTCGGCCACAAGCCACCGTGACAACATGGATGGTGCAGACCGACGGTGGACCGGTCGGCTGGGCATCCCGGCAAGCCTGCGAAGAACAACCACGCCCAGAACGCGGGGAGGCGCACGTCATCGTCCCCGAGCCTTTCAGGGGACTGACACTGGAGGACCGCCACCCCAACGATCCAGCGGCGCAATACACCGCAGAGGAACGGAGGCTCCTCTGTTCGCTGTGCGGAGTCCCGGAGCTCGCTCGAGAAACACACCGAGCGGGGCTCCTACACGTGACCCGGGAAGCTGCCGACCGCGCTGCGAGGCTCCAGAACCACGACGAGCTGTAGAGGGCCATCGACGTCGTACGAAGGCAACGTCCTCAACTTCTGAGGTCAAACGACCACGACGAGCACGTCATCGACATGCCTGACTTTTGAGGGGGGGATTGTGTGGACGCTATAGGGGCGACACTGTGTGTAAAGAGCGCGGGGGGCGTTACCCCCTGTGAAAGAACGCATAAAAGCAGCAGCGGGGACGCCGACGAAAGGAGAGAGAAGCGGGGCCTGGAGCGAAAGGTACACGCTGCGGCGGTGTCAACCAACGAGCTTGTTATTACTAACTTCATGTTTACAATTTACTAATAAATGTAGTTTCACGTTTTCCGAAATCCTGGCTCCGTGTTGTTTCGCCGGGTTGGGCACGCAGCAAGGCAACTTTCCCACAAGCTAAAGAGACCTTTATGCTCGTGTGAATAGGGTATAATACCCCATTCACACGGCAAGCATAAAGGTACCTTTAACATAGGTCCCTTTGCAATCGGCAAATCAGCCCACGCTCTTGGGTCGCGAGCACACGCCACGCGCGGAGGATCGCGAACTGATTCGCCGCTGGGCATAAAGGTCTCTTAGCTAAAGGTACCTTTATGGTCGTGTAAATGGGGTATAACGTTCTCGTACACCACAAAATTGCTGGCGCGAGTGAGCGCTAACAGCTTTGATAGCCGTTCTATGAAAACGTTCACGTCACTACTTCTGATGCTTTGAGTGGGTCTCTGGCTGGGTTTACACCGATGCGATAGAAACGCATCGAATCGAGCAGGGACAAATCACACGCACGCTGTCTTGCTGCTTCTTCCTCTTCTACCCATCTACGACCAATCAAAATAGTCAAATCTCGACGCGATGCGCTACGTTCGCATCCATGTAAACGTAGCCCCTATTGGTCTACTCCAACTGCGTTATCAACAAAGAGAAATCGTACTCGGAGTTCTGGACTTGTTTAAGGCGTTACATACTACAACACAAATCTTTTTTACTTATGTTTTTACTGTGTAGAAGAGTTACAGTTGTTCGCGCGTAAGCTACATATATACTGTCGAGACCGGTTATAACGAAATAGCGGCTACGGCGAAGCGATCACGATTTCCCATTCCCTTTTGCACTTCGTTATAACCGAGGTCGGTTATAACGAAATAGCGAATATAGCGAAGTCATTTCCGATTCCCGTTGACTTCGCTATAACCGGTCTCGACAGAAGACCTTTCTCGTTTACCCTCGTCCCCAGCCTCGTAGTTAAAAACCTGGTATGTGGAAAAAAAAAAAAAAAAAGAAAGCGAAGCGCTACAACTTGGAACACGCAAAAGAATAGAGTAAGGAAGGGGAGAGGGAACGCCGCGCAGGCGTGGGGGCGGATATGTATATGCTGTTTGACTGCCCGTAGATCTGAGGCATATCACGTCAGATTTAGAGAAACAACGTAACTTTTAGTGTTCTTCTTTTAATCTCGAAGAAACCTAAGCGTATTTTAGTTTTCAAACTTCAAGCACATGACGAAAATAATCCGAGGAGAAGGAGAGCAAGAAGGACAAAGGACAAACACAAATCTCTAGCATATCTAGCTGTGTTTGGAGATTTGTGTTTGTGCTTTGTTATTCTTGTTCCCCTTCTCCTGGGATTATTTTCGTCACTCTTGCCCAGCTCGCTTGCACCTTTGCATGTAATTGTATTATAATCGTAACCTTAAATTGCAAGCTTCACCCTTGTTGGTGTTAGACTGGTGCCAGCTGATAAAACCCGTTTGCTCTACTGACGTCTAACCCCGGATTAGCTCAGTTGGTAGAGCGCTCCACCTGTAGTGGAGAGGTCCCGGGTTCGATACCCGGACCAGGCGGATTTTTTCGGTCACGCACCAGTCACATAGCTGTGTTTGGAGATTTGTGTTTGTCCTTTGTCCTTCTTGTTCCCCTTCTCCTGGGATTATTTTCGTCATTCTTGTCCAGCTCGCTTGCACAATTACATATTTATTTTATACGAGACAGAGGGAAAATTATTTATATTAAATATGTTGTTTAGACAAATATGCACTTCCTTTTAAGCTCATTGGTTTGGTTTCGGTTTTTCCCGTCATGTGATCACGCACAGCTGTTTTGCTTACATCGGCCAAATCACCCTCCCAGCTAGTCTTCTCTGCGAAGTGCGACTGAGACGCGTTGACACTTATCAGAAATATCTTATGCGATAAGAATATCGTGAAACACACGAGAGTCGTCGTGTCGAAAAATTTTCGTTGTAATCTTTTTCTTTTTTTTTTTTTTGTATTCACATTTAAACTTGAGCTACCTAACAAGGACCTCCACGTTGGCAGGCTTCTAGTACGAGTACGCTGCCTTTATTGCGCTGAGCTACAAACACAAGCCGGTAGACATGAGAGGTACACCTTCCGCTCGAGCGCAATGCAGCCTGGGCGCATTCCAAAGCAGGAGCGAGCGCATCCAAATTCACGCGATGGCTCGCGCTAAAGTCAGACAGCGTAAACGTCATTCCTGTATTTCTCCTCTAAAGTGATGGGGGTTCGACATGTTTTAAAATGTTTAGCAAGCATCAATCATGTGCTCAAACCCGATAGAGCTTCGAAGCAGGCGGAAATCAGTCATGTTGAGTTCATTTCGTCTGCTGTGCACTGATGTTTTCTAGACTCCCTCAAACCTTTTCTTGTCCCTCATTTAGGCGACTAACACTTTTCGAGTCAACCTGATTAACCAACCAGTTCTGTTTGGCTGAGGTCGAGTAATTAGTGTAACCATCCAGTCACTAACAACAATGTGCAGTCACGGCCACTGGCAACTTCCAGGAAAAACAAGCGATTTTAGCTGAGTACTTTTAAACGTATATGTTCATTTTATTCCCGTAGCATTTTACTTA